ATATCAATAAATCAACAGCTGTCCAACATCCATTGCTCTTCTTTCTATCAAGAACTGGTTCTTTCTAAATTCTTTTCATTGCCTTAGGAGCTCCTTTTCTCGTTGTTTTTAAAATCGTCTACTAAAGTTGTCCTGATTTTCGTTCCATGCGGCACTTTCAGTGGGGCACATTGTAAGTCAGAATTTTTAGAGATTTTGAAAAATTTTAAAGGGGTCGTTTATAGCAATTTTGGGGGACTGGTACATTGTTAAATGCCAGGAATATTAAGACTCTTCGGTCAATCAGTGTAGGTGTCTTGTATTAGTGATGTTACTAAGATGTTCCCACACGCTGGTCATAGTTACGCGAGGCCCTTCGATCACTGACAAATACATTTTGAAAGGATAAGATGTAAATTAAATGTAGTAAATCAAGAATGTAAATTAATGTAAGTCAAAAATCTTGGGTTATCGTCTTGGAGATCACATTTTACGAAAATTTACCTACACACTAAACGTGTTTATTTAGACTGCCTTAGGCTGAGTTACATGTCTCGACATTACATTAATTGTCTGTATTGTTTAAAGCACATCATTCCTTCGAAGGCTACCTGAGCGGCTATTTTTTTGCCCACAGATACAATTTGCTGATAAGTGGTGTTCATCGGTTGTTAGCGGAACAAACAATATGTTTTAGTTTTTAGATTTTTCTTCTTGTCCTAATCAGATTTCTTCAAATGTGCTTCAAATTTTACTTCTTTTCATGATTCTTTTCTCAGATAATTGTCTTTAGCTGTGTTTGGTTGTCTCATAAAGAGTTGCTCCGAGAATCCATCGTTGTTTTAATAACAGCCATCGAAAGTTTTAAAAACCGTGAAGCACAATCCCCAAATTGGTGATGTACCTTAATATGATCTAAAATACGATGAAATGACGATGCTTAAAACGCGGCATGGACATCTCAAAATCTTGTCAAATGCTTTCGTCGGGGAACAGTTGAGCTGGGAAAATGAGTGTCAAGATTGTCAGCATACTGACCACTAGGCAGGGCAATATTGGTGAGAAAAACTGGAACAGTTGTCAGCTACATAGTGTGAAAACCAGATTATGAAATGCAGCTAACTGATAGCATTCCAGTCGTGAAGGCACTAGAAATTGGAATGTTGAAATTTTGCTGTTTTTTTTTTAAAGAGGGAATACTTCTCCACTGTCTTCAAAACAAAAAGAGTACTTTTTCTGTTATATTTTGCTCGGCTTGTCCCAATTCCTATAGCTTTTTTGTTATTAATTTTCAGGATTATTTTTCTTGATACATCTTGCAGCTTTCACTTATTCTAATCTTTTTTTGTTCTATTTTTCACACATTTACATCGCAGCTGAATGTAGAGATTCTGATTGCTGATTCTCGAGCCGATTATTGCGCAGCCTCCGACCCCTCATTGACCTCGTGTGCGTTCCTTTGGAGTATTGACCAAGGTCATTTCCTCGTCTATTCTCAACATGTTTGCGACACCATGCGATTTCTTCACTGAAATGTTGTTGTTCTCACTTATTCTCTGTACTAACCTCTAGTATCTTAGAATTTTCTGGGTTTTCTGCGACTGATATTTTATTTCTTCCGTAAACTGCAATTTCTGAAAGTCAACTCTTATATAAATTTCTCCTTGTAGGGAACCATAGAATTTTGCTGCTGCATAATATATGCTTTGGGGTTCAAATGATTTCCCAAGGATGTCACCCACGTGATTTCGACCTTAACAAGAAATGACCACTGAACCGGTACACTAAATTATAGTGGACCAGTATACTAAATAGCACTATAACCAGAGGCGGCTATAAATTGCAGAGGGATTATGCCCAGGAGTTTTTTGTTGCGTGAAGCGGAAAAAGCAAACAATTTTGAAGAAAGTTATGGGTTTAGGAAAACTCAAATACTGACGAAGTTGAGGACGAGGGAGTGATAAAATTAAGAAAAAATAATGTGGTGCCTGGAAACAAAGCCACCGAGAGGTACGAAGAAGGTATCTTTCGGCTTCCTGAACACCAGATACGTTGCTTAGAGAGGATGAGCAGTACTGCTGTAAAAAGCTATCGTTTTCATTCATTTCTGCGCAAAAATA